TTAATTCTAAACAACACATTTCCAAGATGGCAGGACTCAAGAAGAGGGAGAAAAAATCATAGCCAAGGGGCCACCGCCAAGAAGGCCCAGTTTCTTGTTGTTTCCTTCTGGGCCTCCCTCAGCATCAGACCCCCTCAGCCCTCCCTGCTGGCTATGTCGAGTGATTCAGGTAGATCTGGGTGGGAGAAGACGATCTGCCAAATATTGAGGTCCCAAACCGTTTAGGGCTGTCATGGTGCTAATGAATCATGGATTCTCCCCTCCCCCAACAATGGGGCTGGTTGGAATCCACAGCAACTTCACTCTCCAAAATTACCCACTGATGACCCACCAGTGCCAGTCGCCACCACAGGCCAGTCCACCTCTTAGGGTCCCCACCAGATTTTCTCACCGTGGCTGACGGCTGATTGTTCCGGCACATTGATGACTATTTCTTTGAGGCTTTGTACGTAGCGAATGCGGTCCAGAATCGGGATAAGAAAGTTCAGTCCCTGGTAAGGATCAGCAAAAGGAGAAGGCTTTTATGGGAAGTGACACCTTCTCTGTGTCTCTAAAGCATGGCAGATTCCTGTGTAATTAACCCCAAAACCAATCCGTATCTTGTACCCATCTAGGCAAAGGCTGAATCTGTGGGATGTTGTCCAGGAAGGTCCTAAATTGAGGGTCTCCCACACCTCCTCTCTTACAATATTGGAATGCACACAGGTAATTTGTCTACACCGATTACAGTGGGACAGAAATGTAAAAAGTGGGATACCGCACGGCTCAGGCCTGGGCTTCTTCCATGTTTTTATGGAATGAGGGTTCACAAGGAATGCTTATTAAATTTGCAAATAACACAACATTAGGTGGAACTGTTATTCCTTGGAAAGAACCGGAATCACCCTCTGCCCGATGTGCCCCGACTCAGATTCCTGCACCGAATCGGGCTTCCTTTCTTTCCCTGTAAGTTCAGCCCAGGGGCCCTCCGGCTGCTCCCTGGGGGGTGAAGATCGCGGGGGCAGGCGGGTTCCTTCCTTCCTTCCTTCCTTACCGGCTCCAGGATGCGGTGGAACTTGCCCATCCGCTCCACCACCCAGGCTTCCTGCTGGGGCACGAAGAGGATCACGGTGTTCCTGGGCAAGCCCGAGGACCATCGCTGGGGGGCCACGGCGGCCGGCCATGGGAGGTGACGCCTGGG